CCTAAAGGTAACCGCTCTTCTGAATTCTATTGCCATCCATTAGTTTCGCCTATTTCCACCATGATAGAACTGGTATCAACAGTTTTGAAACATAAAGGAAATGAAGACACTACTGTCTAAACCCATGCACAGCCTTCCTCTACACTTAGACTAAGGAACAAATAATGTTACTATGGTCTGAAAATCCGGTAGTACTACGTTATTCTCTAAACTCATTCCCTCCCATTTCCCATTTGCTCACTGGGTTTGTTTTTATCCCTTGAATATTCCTTGATTGAGGGCCTTTGTATATGTTGTTTCCTCCGCTAGAATGAGAATTCCAGCATGGCTAGCTTCTCATCCTCAGATTCTCATCATAAACACGACTGCTCCAGAGAAACTTTCTGTGCTTCTTATGTCTCTCAGCCTCCTGCCAGGGGACTTCTAGAAGCTGGTGTGTGTAAAGGCAAGGCTCAGGGTCTTTTACACTTGATAAACATGAGAGAAGGGTAAGAAGGGTTTTTTATTTTTCTTTCCTGTTTGTTTTAGCAGCTGTGCACACATACAGTTTGTGAGTGTATTTGAATTGTTTAAATTTGATTAACAAGGAAACTGGAAGAATTAGAAGTGTCACAGAGGATGGCAGACCATGAAGACCTGCCCTGCTACTTTCCCCAGGCAAGAAAAAACACAGCCCTTCTGTACCTCCCCTAAGGCGTGTTCGGAGAGGGAAAGGGAAGCTACAATCTTTTCTTTTAAAATGCAAATATTAAGTCCAACAGTCTGTGAATAGCTATAGCTATATTGTAAGGGAAAGCAAGTAACTGACAGGCAGAGCTATCTTTTGCATATTTGGCCATTTTCCCCAGGACCCAGGTGACAGATTCCTGGCATCAATCATGTTCTGTATAAGCTTAAACACTCATCACTCTATATTAAGAATGAATATCTCAATTTGTGTGACTTGAACTTGGATTACTTAGAATTCCATTTTACCGTATTCCTTCGAGTTTCCTCCTACTGTCATCAAATAGATACCAGGAGGAAGGGAACTGGAGAGAAGACTAAAAGGGTAAAGGCCCAAGGATACTGTCTGGTAGAGAGCAGCACCCTTGAGGAAACAGGTGCTGAAGAGTCCTCGATGGGATGTCGGGGCCCACACCTTCTAGAGCTTGCCAAGGCCCAGGCTGTTCTCCTACCGCATATTGCCCAGGCCCAGACTATGCAGGGAGGCCACACAAACACTGACCAAGAAATTATTCCTCACTTTCTCAGAATGCTCCAGTTCAAATAGGATTTTGGAATGAAATGAATGCCCTGTGTAGGATTTGGGCTTCAGTTTTGAGAAAACAACATCAAGAATTGTTCCCAGGGAAGTATATTCCATGTTCCCCATATTCCTGTGAGAGTATCCCATGTGCCCTGGATGCCGACCTCCTATAACACAGGCCTGGGGAGAGCACAAAAGCACAACAATTTGTTATTTACAATACAAAAGTAGAATCTGTCACTATTTGGGGGTTTGGTTGTTTTCCTGGGCTTCTGGGGTGCTGTGGGCTCCTCCTGAGGTTCTTGTTGTCTTGAACAAAGAATTGGACAAGCAAAATACATAGTGTGGTTTCATCTTTATTAAAGGTAGGAACAGAAGCATGCTCTGCCAAGTGAGAGCAGTCCACTGAGAAAGAGCACAGGGGCCCCGAGGTTCATGGCCGATGAAGCTGCATCCCCCATTCCTCAGGCCTATATCAGATCCAGGCCATCCTGTCAAAAACCCGCTTGATCTCACTCCAGAAGACCTGAAGGTAGCATTTTCTGATTCATCCCACGTACAGATTTGGGTGCTGGTGCACTGGATTTCCATACTTGACAGGTCATACCCACTTGCTCAGCTGACTAGCCATGCCCTAATCTCCTGCCTCACTTGGGTTGATTTGTTGCAAAAGGTAGAAACTGACTCAACTTCTCTCATTGCTCAAGGTATGACTTGGGGCAAGACAGAGGCTAGATGCTCTGTGGGCCGTGGACGGATGTGCTGGCTTTCCAGCTCTCTCTGCCTTGCTGCAGTCCAGTTTTCCCCCTCCTGCTTCCAAATAGTGAGTGGCGGAGGACAGTAGAAGGAACATTCCACCATTGGGAAATGTGGCTGGGCTCTCTGTGCTCAGCAGTAACGTGGAATTTCCCTCTCAGCACCTCCCTGGTTGCTGTCTTGGCATCTCTACCACAGAACTGTTAAGCTTTACCTTCTGCTAAAGCCTGCTTCATTCACTTAAAGATTTTCTATTTCAAATTCCTGATAGGCTGGGGCTGGAGGAGTGAGAGAAAGAGAATCTGAATGCCTATTCATCCTTCCAAGCCTACCCACGCCAGCCCATTTATTGAAATTTATTGGGGGGGGCATCACATGTGTACCTAATGCTGTCCTTTCAGGACATACAGTGGGGGATACACCTTTAGAGGCATCCATGATTGTAGCAGGCAGTGTAGTTGACATCTTAGTATATTCTTGTTCTCCAAAAAAAGCCATACTTTCTTTTCAAAAAATAGCTCTGGTTTGGAATGTTTATTTGATCAGCTGTGGAACATTCTTCTTCTTCTTCTTCTTCTTCTTCTTCTTCTTCTTCTTCTTCTTCTTCTTATTATTATTATTATTAGAGACTGGGTCTCACTATGTAGTTCAGGCTGGCCTTGAGTTCATTATGTAGCCCAAGCTGGCCTTGAACTCATAGTGATCCTCCTGTCTCAGTCTCCTGAGTGCTGGGATTATAGGGTTGCACCACCATGCCTGGTTGTGGAACATTATTTACTGATTCAATAAGTTAACATAGTCTTTAGAAGAAGTATTAGTGTCATAATAGTCCTTTCCTGCATGTAATAAAAAATAAATAAACAAGATGATAAGGTTGATGTAAAAGTTTAGTTTTGTACTCCTGGACTTTGATGATAAAGAAGGTTTTTGGAGGAGCCCTTAAATGTTCCAACTATAGTGTTCAAAATAGACACTAGATATTTCCCCTCCTTGACAGCATTATTTAATGAGTTTAACCCAAGTTTTCTTTAGGCTCAGTGGAAAACAGGTGTTAGCAACAGAATTTTTTTTTAACCATCTGTAGGTGTTTCTGTTACAGTGAAAGTAGTAGTTTCCCCACATTCTGAGTGAAAATAGGGTTATACATTTTTATCATTCCCATCTAGCCTCTAACCTACAAGCCATCCTTGACTTCCTCCATCGCTTCATCCCCTGTTCCCTCCCAGCATCCTCTAGTCCTGGCAGCATTGCTTCCAAAATGCATCATGAGTGCGAGCACGCCTCCCTGTCCTCACTGCTACCACAGCATCCACACTTGCACACTGCTCTAACAGGTTCTGGATTAGCACACAGCCAGCAGCAAACAACAGAAAATCCAACTATGGGTGTTCTAATAAGAAGCTGAGCTTTCTCTCACAGAATTAGTCCAAAGGTCAGCAATCCAAGTCTGACGCAATAGCTCAAAAGTGCCGCCAGGGACCCAGGCTCTGTCCTTTTTTTGTATTGTCCTTCACGTGTTGGCTTTCGTTCTCATGTTTGTTACCTCACTGTTTCCACCTGGCTGCTACTTTGCCAGGCATTGCATCTGTGTTCCAGACAGGAGGAAAGGTAAGAGCAGAGGATGATTTTCAGAAGTATTGTCTGTTTCTTCAGGAAGGGAAGTCTTTGCCATAAGATACCTCCTCACACCAGCTAGAAGTGGGTCCATATCCATGCTTAAGCCGCTTTGTATCCACACGTGATCTTAGCCAAAAAGCCGAGACAGGATCCCACTTTGTTTCCAGAGAACTAAAATTCCTGACATGATATAGTAAGCGTCTTTACCTTGGTGTCTTCCTTATTTTACTGTGCTTTCCTATACAGCTGAGATGGAAAAGGCTAAAAAAAAAACTACATTTCCCAGACTTCTTTGCAGTGAGGGACTGGAAGTGGGGAAGAAGAGGGGCAGGGTGCACACTCCACTTCCTTGGTGTAATTTAGCAGAGGTGGCGGGATGGTTCTGGAGCCATTAAGTAGGCACTTCCTTGATTGCCCCTTCTTTGTGAACTGATTTAAATCATTAACTCAGTGTTAAGTTTGCCACTTTTGTTTTTTTTTTGTCTCCAGCTGTTTCCACCAGTGTTGTTGGGGAGCTAAGTAACCCACAATAAAGCACTTGACAGCATATTTGGTTGATGAGCGGTACTTGGAGCAAGATAAGTTTTTCTGGTCTCAGAACCACCATTTCCGTCTCCTCCAAGGGCACGGGCCAGGGAACTGGCTGCTGCTCATGGCCGCGACTGTGCTGTGATTTTTCTAAATAGTCTGGGTACTGCACACTGTGGCCAGTGATGTTTCCATTTTCCTCTTGACTATTAGAAATCTTTAAGGCAGGTGAGAACTGTTTTCCAGGAAGTATAGTCTTCATTATATGTATTTGGTGTGGTAACTTTACTCTGTTCCTATCTTTTCTGCACGTATTTCCCTTCTTGATTCCCTTACTTATTTTTGTTATTTTCCTTTGTTGCATTTTTTTTTTCCCCCACACGGCAGAAACCGTTTTGAAAAACATATAGCATTATTATATGATTAGGTCTGTTAATGAAGCAAAACTATTAAGTGAAGACATTCAATCTTCCAAATTAGAAAACCTCCCAATGTACTAGCTATCAAAGTAAAAACTGAGGATAAACATTTTATGGCTATAAAATTATGTTAGAATATTTTAGGTTGGTCTCAACATGAACCAGAGACTTTATTCATCAAAAAAAAATTGCAGGCTTTCTTCCATATGTTTGTCATAAACTTATGAATAGGACGAGCATAAAAGACAGATGCTAGCTATTAAATCATCTCAGTAGAATGATAAGGAATGCATGTGTCACAGGAAGCGCTTGCCACCAACACTTAAGATAAGATCGGTGCACACAAAAATGCTGTAAACACTGATAGACAATGCCGACAGGTGAGAAACCCACACCCAAATGACAAGGGTGTCACCTGATATGAACTGAGAATGGGACGGTGGAGTGCAGCGAGGACAGCAGAGTTCTCCCCAGCCCTGGGGTGTCACAGCTGCCATTTCCTTAAGCCAGAAGATGAGATTCCTTTAGAGCAGGTGAGTGATACCGCCGCTGACAAGTTAAAAACACGAGTGGCTGCCCAATGAACAAATTCAGAAGTGCACAAAGGTCTGTTTTATGAAATGCAACAAGAAGTAAAGATCCAGGGGCTGGGGAATAACAGCTCAGTAGCAGAGCATTTGCATAGTATGTATGTGGTCCTGGGTTTGATCCCGAGCACTTGAAAACAAAGGGGCAGGGGCAAAGATTCAGTCCCAGGGCTTTTTAATTACAGCAAATTTTTAATTCCAAGTAACAACCCCTGCTTTATCAAATGTATTATTCAATACACTTCGTAGTTTCCGCTTCCCATCCTACCCCAGTTCTTGCCCACTCTCTAACCTGTGTATCAGCGCTGAGCCTATTCCCATGAAGAGCTGAAGAAGGCGTTCCATACAACTTGTGGGAAAGCAGTAATACTGAATAAGCAAGTAGTCCCTGGGTGTAGTCTCCTCGTTAAAATCATTCCTTGCCTCACCTACACCCCCACAATAAAGCCCAAAGCAGTGGGGATGGCATACAAGCTTCTCCATGATCTGAACCAGCCAACTCCCCTCTGCCTTCCTGAATGCTGCCTCGTGCTGCCTCATGAATATGCCACGAGCTCCTTGGCTTCTAGGTGTTTCCAGTAACCCAGATTCCCTGAACTCTATCTGCTACTATTCTACTAATCTTTTAAGACCCTGTCTCCATCTTTACCTCCCCTTGGGAACCTTCTTTCACCCTCATCTTTGTGGTATCCCACAGACTCCCTTTAGCTGTCCCTAGGTCACCTGTGTGCTCTTTTGTCTCCAACACAGGCACCTGGAAGGTGAGAACAGTGCCAGGCCCCCCCACACCTCCAGCATTTGGAATTGTGCTTGGAATGTAGGAGGCGCTGGGTACAGATTTGTTGAATGAGTGAAAGTTCATATTCTCAAGGAAATAATCCATTCGTATGGATAGTTTTGTTGTGCTTGAAGAAGAAAAGCAATCATCTTATGGACGCAATTCATGGTGATATTCATATTCCCTAACAAGTACTGCAGAAACCATATTGTCATTCACTTGGTAATCCTCTCACTTGCATTTTTATCTCATGTTAAACTTGACTCGCATAAGAAATGTGTAGACAAAATAGTCATTTAAGGAATGGAAATACTCTAAATAGAGCTGGTTAGTAGATAATAACTCAAAACAAATATTAGCTATAGTTCCCTGAAGAATAAGAACCTATTAGTATCTTTATTTTACAGAGTTCAAGTCTCCTTTCAAGTTGTAAAGAAACAAAACAAGAATAAAAGGTGCCAGTGTGCTTTCTCAGACCTGATGATGGTAGTAATAACAGTACCAACTTGCATGTACCAGCACCAGCACTTTATTTCTTTTATTTTTGCTGTGCTGAGGATTGAACGCAGGGCCTCAAGTGTGCTAGGCACAGGTTTCACCACTAAACTACGTCCTCAGCCCTATGTGCACTTGAAATAAATTACCTTCTTCAGTTCTCACAACATTGCTATAGTTACCTTTTTCATTTAAACATGAAAAAATGCGTTTTGGGTAAAAGACTTACCCAAATTTACACACGTAATGCTAGGAGTAAAGTTTGAGGTCCAGGCAGCCTGACAGCAAACTCGAAGTGATTTTTAGAAGAGAAAATCTCACATTAAGAAATATCACAAACCATATCCGACTTCTGATGAACTTGCATTCATTATATAATGTTACCAGTTATTGAGTAGAGTATGACCTAAAACTAGTCTTTCCAAGCCTCTATCCCATGGGTTGTGGGAATGAAAGTGTTAGAAATGATATTCTTGCTAAGCATGGTGGTACCTGCCTGTAGTCCCAGTACTCTAGAGGCTGGAGCAGGGGGATCTTCTTACGTTTGAGGCCATTCTGGGCTATATAGTGAGTTCCAGACCAACCTGCACTACACAGTGAGACTCTGTCTCAAAAGACCAAAACCAAAAAATGATGTTCTGGTTTTTTTCTATAAATTAAAACTTTATTTATTTTAGTTTATTAGTACATGTGTGCAGTACATAATGTTTACATTCTTATGGGAAATTAGTACATGTGTTTAACACATCTTAATTCCTTTTTTTAAAATCTCCTTCCCTCTGTCCACCTTTCTTGAGGTGTTTGAGTGTATTTCTGCATAAGAAATTACTGCCCAAATGTTAGCAGTTTAAAACAGCAAACGTGGGTCAGGGATATAGCTCAGTGGCACAAGTACCTGCCTGGCAAGTGCAAGGTCCTGAGTTTGATTCCTCCCAGTACCAAAAAGAAAATAAAACAGCAAACGTTTATTATCTCAAAGTTCCTGAAACTTGGGCATCCAGGGGCTGTTAGCCGGGGCAATTCTGGCTCAGGATCTCTTATGAGGCTGCAACAAAGCTGTTGGTCAGAGCTGCATCTGTTTCAAAAATCTATAGGAGACTCAGGGATCCACTTGCAACTCACTTGTGTGGGTGTCAATGGGCTTCTGCTTCTTGGGGGAGGTTGGATCTCACTGAGGTTCTGCCTGAGCTCTTTGTCAGAAAGCAGGTGAGTGGGCCAAGAGGGAGCAGGAGCTAGGTGATCCACAGGCAAGCAGCAGTCATACACTCATCTGGAAGGAGCACACCATCACTTCTGCTGTATGCCAGGCCCCAGAATTGAGTCACAGTCACAGAGTCCTGCCCACGGGGGGAGGTGGTCTATAAAGACATAACTTCTGAAGACTGATGCTATTGAGGAGCATCGAGAGGCAGGACTAGGGCTGGGGATTTAGCTCAGCAGCACAGTGCCTGCCTGGCAAGCGTGAGGTCGTGAGTATGATTCCCAGTACGGGAAAAAAAAAAAAAAAGAGGCAGGACCACATACACTGTAGTAGGCTAGGAAGATATGGATAGCTGCATTTCATTCCTCAGCTCCAGGTCTCCCTGAGTTGTGTTGGCTTTTTATTCAAATGATAAAATTTAGATTATTAGACTCCAAAGACAAAGCCTTGCTAACAAACAACAGCTGCATTGATTAGCTTTCCCTGTGCTGGGACAGACACATGTCACCCACAAATGAAAGGAGGAAGGATTTATGTGATATGATTGAAAAATCCACTAAACGTTGAAAAGTTGTTTTTAGAAAATTATTATAGTAAAAGACACTTTGCTATTAATCTCCGTCAAAATACTCCACCATCACTTAGAACATACTTAACCCATCATTCTTGCCACTTTCTGAAGTCTTTGGTGAGCATCTTTAGTTGCACTGTCATAGCTGATGCAATATCCTGAATTGATTCAAAATGTTTACCTTTCATGGTCATTTTTATTTTGGAGGAGGTCCAGAAGTCACACAGTGCCAGATGCAGTGAATAAGGTGAATGGGGACACACCATAATGTTTTTATGAGCCCGCCTTTTTGTTGGATGGCATGGGAAAGACACTCATGAAGGAAGACTTCCAGAACTGCTTCAGAAAGTGGCAAGAATGATGGGATAAATAACAAAGTTAAATGAGCAGGAAAATGGAGAGTTTTGTTTCCAAAGAGATTTAAAATCCAGTGAATTTGAAACGGACATTCCAATTAACACACTAATACATCAGATTGATGATCTTGCAGCAAAACTGGAAACTACATCTTCCAAATGTCTACACCTGGATGCAAATAATCAGTTTCTCCACCAGGAGTTGTTATCTATGACAAATATACAAAAGAGATGTGAAACACTAGAGAAGAATAAAAAGAAGTTGGAACAAGAAGTAGTAAACCTCAAAAGTTACATAGAAGAAAATATGATAGAACATGGCCAACTAGAACAGTTTAAGCAGGAGACTGAAGAAAGAGCAAGACAAGATTTAGTGGAAAAATTAAAACATGTCAATATATTTTTACAGACACAAGCAGCATCTCAAGAACATTTAGAGCAGTTAAGAGAAAGTAATAATACTTCAGTGAGAAATCAGATGGAACTCAGAATTAAAGACCTGGAATCAGAGCTCTCTAAAATGAAAACTCAAGATTCCAGTAAAATACAACTGGAAAAATATAAGTAACTCTATATAAAAGAATTCAAAACTAGAAAAGCATTGTCCAGTAAGCTAAACAAGGCTAATGAGAGGCTAGGAGAGGCCAATACCAAACTTCTTGTGGAGAAACAGCAAAACAGATCTTTGCTGAGTGCTGGTAGTACAAGACCTGTCCTAGAGGGTCCTTATGTCAGAAATCTTAATCATAGTTTGGTGCTACACAGTTTTCTTCCCAGAGAAAACTTAGTGATTCGCATAATAACCCACAGCCTTCAAGCAGCAGCCTGGAGAACTACCTCATCAAGATGTGCCAAGAGTTGGAAAATAGTATAACAGAGAACTAAAAGAAACTACTGCTGAATTGGTACTCTTGAAAGTTTCTCCCAGGGCTGGGGATATAGCTCATCAGCACAAGCGCCTGCCTGGTAAGTACAAGGTTCTGAGTTCAATTCCTAGTACCAAAGGGGGGGGAAAAAAAAAAACTTCCATTCAATAAAGTTCCTCCCAGAGGATCTGCTAATCCTCCCAGAGGATCTGCTAATAAATCAAGTCAAGATCTAATCAAGTCAAGATCTAATAAATCAAGTCAAGATCACAAGAATATAAGGAGATTTTTAAGGAGAAGATACGTGATCTGAAAAGATAACATTTTATGTATTGGACTTTATAGATAACATTTTAATTATTTCCCATAAAGTGTGTGACTTGAAAATTTTGTTGAAAGAAAAATACTTCTTATCATATACATGATGAAGATTAATATACTATTTTAAACTATTTCTTGATATCTGTAACTTTTAAGTGCTATTTCCAAGTAAAAATCAGTGTTGCTGAGTTTTATGTACTGAAACTTCCCAAATGAAATCCACCCAACCAAGCTGTTGTTAATACTTTGTTAGACTGAAATATAATTTTAGCAATATTTTGAAAAAAAAAAAAGTTTGGAAAGAAGGAGAATATTTTGAGGGAGAGTACTGGCAGTGTGTCTTTTACTACAATAATTTTTTTAAAAATTTAAATACACACTGTATTTATCGGCCCTTGGCTTCTGGTCTGGCTTCTGGTTTCAGAGGTTTCAGTTCATGGACAGCTGTGTGTGTGAAGCAGAGCTGCTCACTTCAACGGCAGCCAGAAAGTAAAGCACAAGGGAAGAGAGCTAGAAAGGAAGGGGCTTGGGGCCAGATAGAGTCAGTCCCCCAAATCACACTTGTGTGTCCCACTCACTCTCCCAGAAGCATGCCTTACTAATCCCCTAGGTGGCTCACAAGCCAACGAAATCAACAGTCAAGATGAAGGTCCTGAGTTTGATTCCTGGTACTTAAAAAAAAAAAAAAAAAGATTAACTGTCACAAAGCCATTATAATCAAAGACAAGGGGGCTGGGGATTTAGCTCAGCGGCAAAAGCGCCTGCTTGGCAAGCGCAAGGTCGTGAGTTCGGTTCCCGGTACCGGAAAACAAAACAACAACAACAAAAAAAAATCAAAGACAAGATTGCAAAGGTGAAGTAGAATGGAAAATATCTTTCCTTCACAATTATATCAAAATGCTAGTGAATTTCTCAGTGCATCTCATGTACTATTTTAATACATTTCAAGTGAAGGCCCAAGCTATATTAACTAGGCCCCAAACAAGAGACCACAGCCCTGGCTACTTAGTTAGCAAAACTCTGTCTCAAAAAAAAAAAAAAAAAAAATTAAAAGGGTGGGGGGTGTAGCTCAGTGCTCCGTATCACCAAAAAAGAAAAAGCAAAACAAAAACAAACAACCCAAAACCAAAACCAAAGCCAAACAAACAAACAAACCCAAAAACCAGAAATAAGAGCTCTTTAAGAAACTGTAGCATATTAATTCCTGAGTATAATGCCTAGATACAGTTGTGCTTCCCAAATACTTCCACCCACTGCTAACTTCTGAATCAGTGCATTACAGCAGAAACTCCTACAGCACAATCTCAGTAAAGAATATTGAGACCAGGGCTGGGCACAGCTCAGTGGTAGAGTACATGCTTAGCATAAGCAAAACCCTCATTCAGTCCCCAGCACCAGGAAAAAAAAAAAAAAAAGACTTGGATTAACATCAGTTTGAGAAAGAATGTGTTACTGTCTTTCATAATGAAGTGAATCCACTTTTCAGTATTTTTAATTAGCTGTTTTAAAGATAGAGAAATCTGTATTTTAAACTAGGAGTTTGAACAAAATAGTGACACTTCCAAATTTTAAATTAGTCTGAAATGCTACATATTTTCATGCTTGGAAATTTAGTCTGCCTCTACATTGTTTTACTTTTATAGTTTATGATGCCATTATCACAGCAAATAATCTTCTGTTCTGCAAGTTTAATAATAACCGTGACCAAAAATCTTAAAGTTCTGATCTGAAATACCATAAATTTTATTTCAAAGCATGGCTATTTGTCCTCGGAGGGATTGTAACATGTTTTCTTTTACTCATTATAAGATGAAAATTACAGAGTTCTACATTTTTCCAACTAACAAATAATTTGTTATTGCCAGCTGAAATAAGACTGACCCAGGAACTCTAAAGCCAAATATTCCTTTCTTCCTATTGCTGAAAATTTTTTCATATAGTAGCATTTCCCCCCACAATAGCTTCTTTTTCTTTTCTTTTGCAATGGTGAGTTTTTGTTTGTTTTGTTTTGTTTTGTTTTTTTGTTTTTTCAGAAGGGGAGTCTTACTATATGGGCCATACTGCCCTTGAACTCAAGATCCTCCTGCTTCATCCAGCTGAGAGGAGACAGAGGCTCACCCTGGTTCAACTGTCAGATTCTTAGAGATATTTGTGAACATCATATATGCTTTACATCTCTGGAGCCTGCTATAGCACCCAGACCTCAGTACACTATGTTGGTGCATTTCAGTCTTGTTCTGTAACCTCTGGAGGTCAAACCTGAACTAAGGCTTTTCTAGGCTAATAAAAACTTGCCATTTTGTAATATTCTCTATAACAATAATATGAATTTAGACTTAGTCTCAACTTTATCAGAGAAAGAAAATATTTTCTTCCTCATATTCCTTAATAAGATACTCATCTAGCATAAAAGATATGAAAATTTTACAATTATGTTGTGAAAAACAAAAAGAATTAAAGGCCTGGGGGTGTAGCTCAGCGGTAAGACATTTGCCTAGGGTGTCCAAGGCTCTGGGTTTGAGCCCTAGCATTGCAAAATTAAATAAACAAGGAACTACATGTTACTATTTTTAATATTCAGTAATACTACATGTACTATTTTTAATATTCAGTGTGTAAAGCCTCCTTAGTTTATATCTTGCAGATTTGAATTTTGTCTTTGTCCTCATTGTGGGCATAAATGTACTTCCATCCTCGTATGCTCTATTGAAAGGGCTCATAACCATGTCTGAAATGTAAATTAGAGCCCACAAGGAATGTTTTCCTACTTATACTTAAACAATAAAATGTCTTGAGCTTTGGAGGTATTTTACTTGGCAGTGCTTAGGAGGCAACATTCTTGCACGTGCGCTTCCCCTGGTCTGGAAGAATCGCTATCCATCAGTGCTCATCAACGCAGCACCGAGAGAAATCCATCTTAGTGAAAGTCCCTTTCTTCACCATGTACTCCAGCTTCCCATAGCCTTTCTCACAGTCGGTTCAGTTTATCTGGTTCTATTTTTTAAAACTTGGAGGGTATATTGTTCAGTATAATATACTGACAAACTCTATAATTTGGGAAAAAAAATCTCCATGTTATGCAAAAATGTATTGCTAAGTTTTCATCATAGTATAAAACTAAAGGATTCTCCTATTGTTTCCAATTTTTAGTTCCAAGTTAACTTTGTATGTTAACTGAATTCTCAATGGCAAGAATCCTCCAAGCGTGTTTTCATTTTTTTTTACAGAGAGGCCATGTCCCTGGAAACCCCTTTACATGGCATGGCATGGCAGACAAAGGCATTTGGTCCATTTCACAGTGATGTGAAAAATAGAAATTGAGATACATAATACATAAACATGTTTTTTTAAAAAATTAGGTTATACTTAACTCAGAGCCACAGAACATAATTCTGTATCCAACTAACCCAAAGATCATTAAGCACTTAGTGAACATCTCTTCTCACCCAGCCTTGTACTAAATTGCTATGTGAGCCGGGCATGGTGGTGCACACCTGTAATCCCAGCACTCGGGAGGCTGAGGCAGGAGGATTGTTGTGAGTTCGAGGCCAGCCTGGGATACAAAGTGAGCTCAAGGCCAGCCTGAACTGCATAGCGAGACCCTGTCTCAAAAAAGACCAAAAAAAAAAAAAAAATTGCTATGTGATGATTATAAAACCTTAGTTAAGCATAATTGTATAATATAGTATAATGTAATTATTATATTTACATGCATTACTCAACATAATTTATTAGCTTATAAGACATAATTATTAAAGAATGTAATCTATTAATTTTACATCTATAAATTAGTGTTGTTCTAATCTATTATATACATAATGATTATATTATATAAATATTATATGTATACAGTATGATTACATAATATGTATTTCTGCAGAGTTTAAAACAGTATTTTAAGGCCAGGCATGGTGGTACACGCCTGTATTCCCAGCACTTGGGAGGCTGAGGCAGGAGGATTATTGCAAGTTTGAGTCCAGCCAAGGCTACATGAGTGAGCTCAAGGCCAGCCTGAACTGCATAGTGAGACCCTGTCTCAAAAAGACAATAAATAAATAAAAATAAGACAGTATTTTAGTCGAGGACATAGATTTAAGCTCTAACTCTAACCCTAATTTTAAATAAAATTAAATCAAGAGAAAAATTGTAAATTATAAATGCAACAAAAGTTAAGAAAGTAATAAGTGCAGGTATACAAGCAAAATTTTAAACATACAGTTAAGAGATGAATAGGATTTCGGCAAGAGACTTAGAGCAAAAAATATTCTCAGCCAGAGGAAGAGAATACACAAAACAAGGAAAAGAGGTGGGTGTTAATAGGTTTCCCAGAGTTAAACCTAATAGGACTGAAGGTTCATTTTGGGAGTAGTGCAAATGACATCTGGATAGCTACAGGAGGAGCACAGTGGAAAACAGGTCAGAGGGATTCAGATTAGATGAAGAAAGAAATAGGAATCCACTGCAGGTTCTTGAGCAAAAGAGTAGCACTAAGAGTATATTTTTAGGAAGATTTTTGCCAGTGAATTAAATGGGAATATAATTAACTAAATAATTATGAGCCCCTTACTTGGCAGATCATGCCAAAACAATGACAGGAGAAAAACAGAATCTCTTAAGTTCCATTGGCTGAAGTTCAGTTATATTGTCTTTATCTTCCTCCAAAGAATAAAAATTAGGGAGGAAAAAC